CTTGGTTAAAAGGGATTAGGTAGATGCCATGTACCTGCATTATCACTGGTTAGTTCGTGTGTATTCTCATTGATAGCCTATCCACATCAACGTGATGATGTTCATTTCATGGTGCTGATGTTGAAAGAATTCAATACTTATATACTATTCTTACTGTACTGTTGAGTTGTTTCTAAATGGGTCAAGCAAAATGATCAGCAGTCTCATTTATGCTATGTGCTGCATTATATCTGTGTGCTCAATGTTGACTACGCTTTAGCTCGTTGCTTCCATACTGCTGAATTTGATAAGTTACGTGTGTCATTTTTTGGGAACTGATGTTTAACCATCAATCCTTCAGGTGCTCATCATGTGGAAGGATTCTGCAGCATCTTCAAAAATGGAAGACTTTACGAGCTGGAGTTGAATATTAAAGGTTTAAATAATTTAGAAGAAAGTCTGAATGACTACTTTAGTAAAGAAGCACTGGATGGGGAGAACCAATACTTTTGTGAGTCATGTCAGAAAAGGGTAGATGCCACTCGCTGCATAAAACTTCGATCACTTCCTCCGTTGTCAACTTTCAGCTGAAGCGTTATGTATTCCTCCCGAAGGTAATATACCTTGATGCAAAGCTCATCCAGAGTTTTGTTGTAATATGTTCCTTCCACATTTATTTACTCGTGCATTCTTCTCCTTTTCCTTTGTAAAGAATTTTTTCTAACTTTTCTCATTGCCAGACAACAACAAAGAAAAAGATTTCTTCAACGTTTAGTTTCCCAAGACTGCTCGATTTGGAAAAACGGTTGTCAAACCCTTCATCTAGTTGTACTTATGACCTGGCTGCTATTTTAATTCACAAGGGTACTGGTGCTAATAGTGGACACTATGTGGCACACATAAAAGATGAAAGCAATGGGCAGTGGTGGGAGTTTGATGATGAGACTGTATCCAAACTTGGTCTGCACCCGTTTGGCTTAAAAACCTGGAAAAGGCTGCCAAATAAAGTTGATCATAAGGTCCAAAGGTATCTCCAGCAGGTTCTCTCACAGATAATAATAACAATGGTCACCAGGAGGCAGCGCCCACTTCTACCAAGGTGGAGATGTTTTCATCTACAGATGCTTATATGCTGATGTACAAATGTACCACTAAGGATGACAATGCCACAGAAAACAATAAAATTGTGGAAATAAATAATGATTCACTTCCACAGCATCTTCTTGATGAAATTAATGAACTAAATGCATCATATCTGAAATCGTGTGAGGAATACCAAAGCAAGAAGGACAGTCATTTGACATATATATGTAAACGAGAGGCGCCAAGAAGTAAAATCTGTTCTGACAGAAGCACCTGCTGATCCAGAGGATGATTCATATTTTGGATCTCAACAGACTGGCTTCACCAGTGGGCAGATAACATTACCCCCTCGTAAGTTTATTCCTGCAGAGAACTAGTCCGTTTTTTGAAGGTTAATATTCTCATAATGATGCAGTATATATTAAAATGGTGTTTGTCTCAGTACTCTTTAGAAGCATTTATCATAGGGCCAGCTCATCTACTAAATGAAAATAAAATTAGTATTTAACAGGCGATATTGTTATTTGTATAATTGTATTACAAACAAAAGTACCTGAACTTTTATCTGACTTCGCTTCCATCATGGTTAATTGATGGAGGTCTTGGCGACTTCCTACACCACCCATCTCTTAAGTCTGTATTCAATCTCTTGGTCATGTAATGCATCATAAGGTAGCCTGTTTCTTTGGATATGTTTGTTCATGCTTGGAAAGGTCGGTGTTCGGTCATGCTTAGTCATGTGTTGTAGCTAGGGTTGTGGTTGGTCACATGTTGTTAGGGCTGTGCAGGCTCATGGTTTGTTGTGGTTGTTAAGGTTGTGTCCTGGTCGCTGTAAGCCTATAACAACTTTTTTTGTTCTTAAGTCGTGTATCGAGAAAAAAGTTCTCTGATTGTGTCTAATATTATTGAGCACATCTTATTTTTTCATATTTTCCATGGCTATATCGAATGGGCTAGTTGTCAACTTTGTTCCGGCTACATTTCTTTTCTCTTAATTAGTTAATTTGGATAAGGTTGTTTTAATATGAGATACATCTTGACCACCTTTTTCTGTGTTGTGATAGGATTATGAATCTTTTTGTCAGTACTGAAGGGCCTTTAGTTGCATCTTAGTATGTTTGGGCATTTATCTAATCTTGGGGGCATTTCCCGTAAGAGCAGTTAATGGCTTAACATGCCTATTGAACTAATAGGAACAAGTAATCTTAAACAAACTATTTCTAATGACCAAGTTCATATTTTCTTTTACAAAACGTTAATTGTCAACTTAACATGTCTATAAAACTAAGGGTTTGTTTGGTGTGACCAAATTTGCCTTGCCAAAATTTGGCCAGGCCTGACAAATTTGGTGTGTAGTCTGTTCCAATGGTTGCCAAAATTTTTGCAAGCTCCCTTTTCACCATTCAACGCATTTTCTTGCCAGCTTGCCAAAACTTTGCAAGCAAAACCATGATCAAGGTTTTGGCTTGCCAAAATTTGGTTGGGCAAATGTTGGAGCAAATCAAACAAGCTAAGAGCACTAGTAGTCATAAAGTAATCAATGATCAAGTCAAGAATGAAATGATAATCTAATATTATTTTGTCTCTATAATCCATTTTGGCATGAGCATCCTTAGTTTGCATGGCAATGTTTGTGATATTGAATGCTATGGGTCAGTGCTTTCTCATGGGGCCAATAATGCTAATCCCTCGTTTTGTAAATGCAGCAAGCAACACGACAGCTCTTCGGCTGTCACAATAGTTGGCATAGAAATAGTTTTTTTTAATATATTTTGCATGACACTGCAATATTAATTACTTTTATGCGGCAACTCGTTGGCCTTTTGATATTCCTTGCTGAATTGAAATGTCATATTTTTACAGTTGTTTTTTTCCCCTGCAGTTCCATTGATAATGGTCCAATTCAATGCGAACATGGAAAGGTTCCAGCATCTAAAGTCACATCAATGAAGCGACTATCATCTGTAGCTTGGGAAAAACTATATTCGAAGGTAAGAAACCCAACCTCTTGGTTTGCACTTCATTGAATTTTGTCTTACATTGCTTAAGTTCAATGATTTTCTTTAATTCTGAAGCATGCTGTAGTAGTGTAGTTTTAACATATAATGTTTTTTTCTCATTTTCTAATGCCTGTGCCATAATATTGATGAATATTTGCCTTTGGTTTTTATGGCAAAATTAAAGTATGGAGGGGGACCGACATTGAGCAGTGATGATTTTTGTATGGAGTGTCTTAAAGATGGGGCGAAAAATGCAGTATCTGCTGATGTCTACCGTGAACGAAAAGCATCATTAAAAACCTTGCAGAAGCGGCACTTTCTGGTAATTGTCCAGATGGTCCTTCTTACTTTATCTCAAAGACATGGTGCATAAAATGCATCCTTCTCTTGATTTCTGATCTTTGTTCTATGTGTAAGATAATATTTTGGTGCACTTAGGACTGCCCTCATATACTGCCTGCCTTTATGTGAACTGTGCATCTTATAGCCTGCTGATTCTCTTTTGTGGCAACGTACTATAGACTAGTGTCTCAACCATAGTTGTAAATTCCATTCTGATTTGACTTTTGGAATGGAACATCTCGGTACCGGCCTATGCTGGTGCATACATAGTTTGAAGTCATAATCATGCTTCAGATACATGAATTTAGGTCCAAAATAGCACATAGTTCAGCTTGTAGGTTGATCTTATCACAGTGTTGGGCTGGCTGAATTAGGAAAGAGGCTTCAGTTTGGACTGGTACCGAAATTCATAGAATGCCAAATGATCAGTATTGACTGGTATTGAGGCCATGATGGGATGAAGGCTCTTCTATGCCGGTTTGGGTACTGGTATGAGAGACATACCGGCCATTCAGGCCGGTACCAGAATGGGATTGATATGTTTTGTGTCAACTGTCATTGTCAATACTAGATTCATATTCATGATCTTACTCTCTGGCTCCATGTTTATATTTTATATCTTAGAGGCTATTTCTCAATGCTGATCATGGTTTTATGCAAATGTAATTATTGTTATTATCTATATTGCTACATTATGTTATGTTTTTCTTGATTCAATTTTTACACCTTAGCCAGTTGTAGTCTTTATGTTTCCTTTACGGTTGTTATTTCTTCAACTTTGTGCAAAACAAATTTCACTCTGAATCACCCCTCTTGTGTGCATTCATGCTGCAGTAGCTGATCTTTTTGCTGTTTACTCCTAGGTTGACTCATTGGCTGCGGAGGAAAAATTCTGATATCCCTTCGGATGCGGATAATGGACCAACAAGTGCTTTAAGATGTTGCCATGGGGATCTTCTGCCGGAGCATGCTCCAGGAGCAAAGCGAGTATCCATACCAGAGAACCTCTGGTTATTTCTCTATGAAACAATGAACGAGAAGAAGGCTGATGATATTGTGACTTTTCCATCAGATTGTCAACCGTGTGAAATTTGCAGTCAGGAATTGTCTGATGTTGCTTCTGTGGAGGGTAATCTTAGGTAATATAAAGTCAGAAAATCAGTCTTAGATATTGGATTATTCGCTGAAGTATTTATATGCCTAATATGCATTTTCTTATACATGGTGTATGACTTCCAGAGCAGTGAAAGTAAAGCAACGACAGAAACATGAAAAGTTGGCATCTGGGAAAAGCTTTACACTTCATCCTGGTCAAAAATATTTTTTGGTTCCTTCATCATGGTTGTCAGAATGGAGAGCTTATATTACAGCCACCGGGAAAAATATTTCTTCGTTACCAGAACCTCATACTTTGGAAGTTGTTGTCAGTTCACTTATATGTGAAAAGGTAAACTAGTGTGTCACATGCTGATATGTGTCCGGTTTTGTAAACCTATATGGTAATAAAACAGTGGAACTCAAATATTTGAATTTGAGAGTTTAGGCGAGTGAGCCTTTCTGTCGAGAACAAATGGTAACCCCATAGAATTTCAAAGATGCCCTTGTGAGAACTTCTATACCCAAGTCATTGTCAGAACTTCTATACCCAAGTCATGAGGTTATCTTTAGTAATGTTTGTAATCTACTTCTGAATAGATAATAACTTGCTAGAGAGCAGGGTTGTAATAAAACCTGAATTCTGGCAAAGTACAGTTTTGCATATAACATGTATTGTATTTTTATTCTTAGTAGTGTCTTATACTTCATCAATTCGTTTAGTCAAACCCAAACAAAGACTCCTGTGTCATCTGTATTGTGAGTATAATGCATACAAACTTTACATTGGTTATTGTGTATTTTTGTCTTGATTAGACATTTGTGTTTCTGTTGATTGTGATCGGCTGTAGTATTTTGTTTATTAATTCTAGTTGGGTGTATAAAGTACTTTCTTGTTGAACATGAGGATTGATAATTTTCAGCATTCAAGATTGCTGCAAAGACCTTTGGATCTTGTCTGTAAGCGTGGGAGCATCACTCAGAAAATGTCAACTGTAAGTCCGTGGTCTTTACAATTTTTCCTTACTAATGCTTGGCTGCAGCTTCAAAAAATATAGAGAGGAGCGGGGCAGGGGGAGGGGAGTGGGGTGTTGTTAAATAAAGTGATGTTTTAAATCATGCTTGCTCCATCTTTAAGCGGTGGAAACCAAGTATGTATACTGCCACCTCTGAAACACTGCCAATGCACACAGTGACAAAAGTGTAGTGTAATTAGGGGGTGCAAATGCAACACCTGCCCTCCACCCACCAAAAAAATGGAAAACAGTGATTTTGACTACAATTCTATCATATATGCACCCTTTATGACACAAGTCTATGCACCCATAAGGCAGGTGCGCTCCCTTTCAATTTGCTCTAGCTTCTCCACTGAATGCACACAAAAGGCATATTAGTTCCTGTTTGGATGCAAGGTATTTTTATAGTATCAGGGATTACTTGGTTTCATTAGAGTACATGTTGCAGAAAATCCACTCCCACCCTCTTTTTTTTTCTAAAACAATGAAACCACGTCTCTCTTGTGCTTCCATCTGATCTCCAATATTCGTTCAGCTAGAAGCCTGGAATGATAGTGATACGGACGTATGCCCATTCTTGTGATAATTTACTAATTAGCTTTGGATGGGATCTTGATATTTTTATGATGTCCTGATAGTATGTCCATACATATATATCAAACAAAAGTATCTTGATATTTTATCATTATTTTGTTTCAAATATTTTATCATTGGTTATCAAGCCAGGCCTTCCACACATAACTATCATGGTTTTTCAGTCGTCGCCTAGGCGTACCCCAGGCGCCACAGGACGCCACAGCGGTTTAGTTACGCCATATCGCCTACGCGTCGCCTAGTCCCGCATCCGCGCCGGGGAGGCCTGCATCCGCGCCGCCCGCGTCCGCGCCTGGAAGGCCCACGGCGGCGAGGAGAGAAGCGGCGGCGGCGGCTGGGTCTCCGGGGCGTGCGCGGCTCGCGATTTGCGCCCAGGTGGAAGGGAGAGGGGGGAAGCAGTGGAAGTAGGAGGGAGGGGGAGGAGGTGGTGGGCCACCGGCCATGGCGGCAGCGGCTGCCGGCGGCGGCTGCCTGCCTGGCGGCTGGGAGAGGGAGGAAAGGGGGAAACCTAATCTGATACCATGATAGAATTGTGATTCCTTACTATTGGGCTAACCCTAGAAGGGTAGCTATGTTGGAGTCATACATGGGCCATATATGGGCCTTAATACACACATACTCCAACACAAAATACTGTGGTACTCTCAACTGTGGAATTTTATGCATGGTATTTTAAAACCTGTAGTTTTCAAAAACCTTTACATCCAAACAGGCCCTTCGTTATGAAATGTGAGGTTCTTACTGTAAGATTAGGAATGAGGAATAGTAGATTTGTTATAGGAGATATGGTGTTACCCATATATAGGCAAGGATGGCTGAGGGTTTATAGCAACAGAACCAATCAACGGAGATCCTTGCCTAATAGAGATTCAATCTATCTATCCAAGACATAGGCCTGTTCAGCTGGTATTAAAGCCGGCTGATAAGCCGGCTGAAGCTGTTTTGTTGTGAAAGAAAAATACTGTAGATTCTAGCTGATAAGCCAGCTGATAAGTTCAAGCGAACAGGCGGCACTAGGCCCAAATAGGGACATGCAGGCCCAACATGGGGCTGCCGCACCCTCTGTCTAACACTTGCTGTCTTGAATTATGCTTTTACTTCTTTCTACTGTTCTTGCATCGTCGAGCAGCCTCCTTGTCACTTTTTCCTTTTGTTTTTGCATTGTCTAAGGGGGTGTTTGGTAGCTTTGCCAACCTCACCTTGCCTTGCACTTCTTGCCGCGCCTCACCTCACCCGGCAAGGAGAGGCGAAGCTCAAAATGCCCCTCTGTTACCCTTTAGTCCTTTCCTTGATGCGCTCTTGCATGCTTTCCTTGCCAGATGCTGAGCCTGAGCATCTTGCTTGCCTTCGTCAAGGCTGGCCTCTCCAGTCTCCATATGCTTCTCCGCTGATTCTCATCGCTTCCCTCTCCATCCGTGGTTGAGCCCAAGCTATAACGGTTTCCTTTTTCAAGGCCGGCCGCTAGCAGCGAGCTCACTTCTTTAGTGACAAGGAGCCCAATTCTTACCAGAGGGCGTTGATTTGGGCTTTGAGAAGCTTGATTCGTTGCGGAGGAGCATCTATTTGGGTGGCAAGGACTCAATTTTGTGGATGCTATGTTTGGAAGAGGAGCTCCATCGCATGCTAAGCATATCTTTTGCCCATGTGGGATAGTTGATTTAGCTCTCCGGCATGGGCATGGATATCCTTGCTCACCCGCACTGAGTTTGCTGGGTGAAGCAAGCTTTTAGTGTGCTATCAAACACATAAGCTTTGCCTGGTGAGGCAAAAGTGCTGGACAAAGCTACCAAACACGCCCTAACTGCCTAGTCAATTTGGGTTTTTGTTTGCTACTACAGTTGCCATGGAGGACAAAAACAAATAATTAGAATATCTCAAGTTAATCATCTTCTTTTGTTTTCAGACTGTTGGGTTAACAGTAATCCCAGAGTATGATTGGAAATTATTCTCTGAGGGTGGAGTGCCAGACCTGAAAAAGGTATATCTGCTGAAATTGCTTTCAGCAAGAGCTCTCAAGAAAAATTGCATGGACCATCTGAGGCAACGCCAATTGTGGATGGAGATCGAGGCAAGTCCCTTGATGACACAAATGATGATTTGGGAGCCAGAGAACCCTATATCAGAACTGACCCTGAGGTAAACTAGCTCTTCTAGATGTATCACTGAATTCTAGTATTAGTGGTTCCCATGGTTGAGGCCTGAGAAAATGTTGTTAGGAAGGCCTTGTAGGAGTTGTATCATATGTATGATTCATGAACTTGTATATGTTGCTAGCTAAAGTAAGAATTTAATTGTCAGTACTATCATGCCCATACAATCCAGAACAATAGATATCTTCTTTGTTAGAATAGTATCAATGTATCTTGTATCATGTAAGTTAGGCATGTTCGGATCCATTAGTGCTAAGAGTTTGGCAGATGATAGAGAATAGGTGCTAATTATTGCTACATAATTATTAGAAAAGGGGCTGTTTGGATCAACATGCTAATAGGTAGTTGGGTAATTGGTTGGAATATCCGGGAATGGCTAATGTCTCTCCTCCCCTCCCTCCTGGCGCCTCACCTCCCCACAGCCAGCCGCCGGTGTCCACCATGGACCCGGCAGCCACCACCAAGGCCATGCTCTCTGCAGGGCCGACCACCCTTCCCTCCTCGCAGGTGTCGTCCCCTTCATCCCTATCACCTCTTGCTCGCCCGTTCAAACCTGCTTGTTGATCTAGGCAGGAGTGCTGGAGCGATGACGGCCCCTCCTCTCCCGTCGACTTCGAGGAGGCTAGTCCTGTGTTGCCACCCTCCTACCTTGATGTGCTGCTCTCCTCCGCTTCTCCTGCTACGGGCGCAGGGTCTCCTGGGAGCAGGACACCCTCGCTGGATGCGGTAGTTCTGCCTGCCGTGGTGCCTCAACATCCGCAGCGCCGCCGCAGATCAGTGGTCCTCGGATTCGTCTGCTCCATGGCTGGTACACGGTAGGTCGTCGTCAGACCTGTGTGGCTGATGTTCGTTGTTCTGCGCATGGTTCTTGATGTCGCCTGCCAATTTAAGAAACAAATGTTTCAACTGCTTCTCTACTTCACACCCAGCATTAGAGTGTTGGCGTTGTGCATGCTGCTTCGGCTGCTGGTGTCTGGGCCATCGTGCATCTAGTTGCCCCACCCAATTAGAAGCACGCACTCCGCAGGCCAGGTCGAAGACGTCAGTTTGGCGCTTATCTCCCAATCCCTGGCCAACACGTTGATGGTGCCTTGTGCAGCTTCAGCTGTTGGTAGGGTGTTGGTCTGGTGTTGCATATCTGCCTCACCTGCCGTGTCTCCGGCTGCTACCCAGGCCATGGATGGAGAGGAGGGCCACTGGCAGCGTCGACGTCCTCATTGCCGGTGCAAGGCAAGGCAATTCTGGTTCTTTTGAGGACTGGTGGAACAGAGCTGATGAGATCGTCGATGGACAATTGTAACGAGGCATCAACTCATTCATTATCCTAGGGGCTTGGACACTGGAAACATAGGAACCAAATGTGTCTTCGATAGCTTTGCTGCCAATATGGCTACAGCCTTGCTTCTTGCCGAGGAGGAGGCCCAACTTTGGGCAATGCGTGGAGCGCGTGGTATCTCTTTCTTGTCAGACCTCGTTCCTAGGGTCTAGGTCATTCCAGGTTGTGGGTATCTGTAACAAAAGGGCGTGTATGTAATTTTGTGATCCTTTGGGTGTGTGGGTTCTTTGGCTATGTGCTTCTTCAAATGATGTACTTTTGATGAAACTGGGATCTTTAACTGTGCTTCTTCAAAAAGGTCCTGTAGTAGTTTCTTCCAAGTTCAGACAGACTTCTCAATGATCTAATGCTTGCAGGCACTGAAACGATTTACATGTAATGAGTATATTACTTTCCATGTTTCTCCCCGTTTCAGCTCTATTGATGAATTTTGTATGCTAGGTTTGTGAAGAATGTATTGGAGAAAGAGAGAGCTGTGCATTGGTGGAGAAACTTAATTATCAGAATGAAGACATCCATGTTTATTTTGTCCGTGGGAAAGAAGCACCAAAGTCTATTAAAGAAGCATGTAGTAAAGCTGTTGTTGTAGCAGATCGTCGGACTTCAAAGCGTTCCCGGAGAGCAAGCTCTGGAAACTCAATCAGTTTGAAAGTCTCTGGTTCTACATCCATCTATCAGTTGAAACTTATGATATGGGAATCTTTAGGGGTATGCACACTGAATCTCAAATTCTGTGATCACAGTTCCTAATCTGTACCCCTGTTTCAAAGGTGTCACCTAGGCGTCCAGGCGTACCCAACTGGCCAGGTCACCTTGGGGAACAGTGGCGCCTTGTCACACCCAGCTCTCGCCTGGATGCCTAGTTGCCTCTGAAACCATGATCTGTACTATATTTGTTTCCTTCTCCATATCTCAAAAGGGACATGCATACATTTTTGCCTTTTCATCTAGCAATGGGATGTGCTTTCTTGTTTTCTATTTTTATTCATGCATGTTTTTTTCAACTGCTCCAAATTATTCAAATAGCCTACCTGTGCTCTTGTTACATTTAGATTGTTAAGGAGAACCAGAAACTTCACAAAGGCTCTGTTGAGATTGAAGATGACCTTGCTACTCTTGCTGATAAGGGTGTTTTTCCTGGGGATATTCTTTGGGTCAGAGACTCTGAAATCTATGAGAATCGTGACATAGCAGGTAAATAATAACAAAAAATGATGTGGCAAACCTTTTTTTCCTAAAAAAAAAAGAGAGGATGCTAATGGTTTTAAGCGTTTGCCGCTTATATGTTTCAGATGAAATTTCAGAACAGAAGGCTGATATGCTACAGGTTGAGGAAGGGTTTCGAGGAACTCTGTTGACATCAGGTGTCTCTGTTCAGCCTTGTCAGGACATAACATTTAGTGAATGAGTTCTGCATATCTACCGACTTGCTGATTGAGCTTGCTAGGAGGTGATGGTGACTTGCTTATTTTTTGTTTTTATTTTATTACTACATATCGTTTGCATTGTCAATGAAGATATGCATATGCATTGTCAAAAATTAGCAGCTATTTCAAACCCCTATCATCTAGTACATATATTATTCACGTTCCAAACTATGTTCCATGGATGAAATCATTTTAGGAAACAACCGAGTTGAGATGTCAATTACTCACCACTGACTGCACTGCTACTCATTTCAATACCCTGTCTCTCCGATTTGCATCTTTTGACACTAATAACACATGGTCTGTTGTGATGCAGACATCTGAATTATGGTGGTTCTGGCAATCGCCCAGGTGGAAATTTTTGTCAACCCCTTCTCTCCATGCTCTCTCTCAAGTCTCAAGCGATTGGCTGTTTAGGAGTAAAATGGATGGTGCTCCTCCCGTAGTTCAGTCTTCCCCGATGACTAGCAGGAAGTTGTCTGTTTCCGGCTGTGTGCTGCTGCCCTGCATGCGTAGTATTTTGTTGTGGTTTGGTTGCGAGGGCTTCGAGTGACTTGCCCTGTACGGCTGTACCAGGTTGCATGGCTATGCAGAGGTTTGTTGAGAGGCTGGAGGAGCCTTGAACTAATGCTGAGTTGATGTGTTTTCACCTTAGATGATATGTATGGACGTATGGTAGGAGTGTGTCCACCACCTCACTGCTTGGGCCTCGTTGCATGCGTTGGCCTGTTGAGCAGGCCAAAAGCAATCGAAAAAAAGAGGAAAGGGGTGTTCTATTTATAAAAGGGATCAAACCTAGAGTAAATTCGAACCATATTTGAATTCTGCCCATACACTAGCGCTCAATTAAAACAATGCATCAGCATGAAATGCTACAAGCATTTTTTTTAATACCTTATGTTTGATTTATTTGATTTACGAAACAATGTTTACCTAAGCTAAAATTCCAAATCTATCTATTATAAAAATTGGCCAAAAAGAATTAGAAAATTGAGAACATCGTTGATTTAACTGCACTAGAACTCACATCTCAAAATAAAAAAATGGGTGTGAAAAAATAAAAAACAAATTTGGTGTGACAGGGGAAGGTGCGGCCACGTGTAGTTTGGCTTTGGGGAAATGAGGCTGGAGCGCTAGGCAAGGGCCCGCGAGTTCTTGGGGGAAAACGAGGACGGAGGGCTAGCCTCTCGGCAAGGGTTTGCCACGGAAGGAGTCAGACGTCGCCTCAGCTTTGCCGACCGCGCTCTAGCTTTGACGAGCGAGAGCTGCGGCTCTAGGTAGGAGAGGGGAATGGAGGTGGTTGTCTGGCTTAGGTGTTGTGGTGCCAGCTGGGAAGGGGAGCTATAGCATCACGGGGCTTGGCCTAAGGTTTTTTTTTTATGAGAAATAAAATCCAACACTCGAGTGTTAGAACAATCGATTTTTCTCTTCTCTTCGTCTCCCTCTCTTCTTCTCAACTCTGTCAGGCTTAGAAGGGAGTGGCCGAGGGGGGAGTTAGGCCGGCCATGCGGTGAGGATGGTGGGGTTTCGGCGGCGTAGGAGGCGCCCGGGCCAGGACGGGGTGGGGTTGCTCATGGCCACGGCAGCGGCGGGAGGGGGGAAGGAGAAGATGGAGGCCGCCGTGGGCAGTATGGTCTCGTCGGAGCTCCCGTTGCAACGGGGCGGTGGGCATCAGTGGTGCGTCATGAGGAGGAAGAAGGTACGAAGAGAAAAAACAGGGTGTTGGAAGAATCTAAAATACGCGAGTGTTAGTATAGAGATATCCTTTTTTATAGCCCAAGATTCTAGGATTTGGATGATGGTCGGTTCATCGGCGTTCGTGCTTGGCTCAAGGAGGGTTGCCTGGCTCAAGAGGATTAGCCTTCTAGGAGCTTTTGTAGGGTGTGTCCTGCATTGAAGGGGTGTAACCGTGTAAGGTAGGGTGCGCTTGTGATGGACGGTCGTGGCCTCACAGAGCATCATGGAGCATGGTGCTAGACTGCTAGGTGAGTATATTGCACCACATGTCGCCGTCGTAGTGGAAGGTTGTGATAAGAGAAGGCTGGAACGGAAAAAATCGATAATGCTACGCATCTTATGTCCGATATGAGCAAATCGCCGGACGCTCCTGCAGGCCCACCGTCTTGTTGCTTGTGCTTTTACCCCGCCGCTCGCTCTGCTCGTGAGTTTATTAAAAAAAACACCCATCCTTATTCCTTTCGCTTCCTCATCCCCTGTCGCGGCGCCTTGCGGCTGCCCTGTCCTAGACGTGGACGTGCACTTCCCTCACTGCTGTCGTGCGCCCCATCCGCCGCCACTCTTTCGCGCGCACATCACTTTTGCTTATTTGGTGCTCGCTCCCGCCCGGTCGACGTGTTGCCCGCCCAAAGCGACCAAGCTCGGTCTTTGGTGGCGGTGGTGCTCATGTGGCTGGTCTTTGGATGCTGAGTGGTGGTGCTTTCGCCTGACGCCGCCACTCGCCACCGGCTCGCACTACGACTGAATGAGAATTGACCAAAGACAGGCGCTTCCCCTCCCCTATGTTGCAAATATATGTTTGTTTCAGATGTTTTAGAGGTATATGTTTCAGTTGTTTCATATGGATGTTATAAAAGTAGATCGGGGGATGTTGCATATGTTGCAAGTGTTTCAGAGACATGTTGTGAGAGTTTGTTCAAAATGTTTCATATATTTCTAGACGTATGTTGCAATAGTTTCAAACTGGCCCATGAACTCCGACAGGCAAACTGGTCACCTTTTTGACCGGAGGGCTTACTTCCATTAGGATCCTACAGACAATCCACCGAAGAACTTAAGCCCTGTTCATTTGGAGGAATTTAGAGGAATCTAGATGAATCTGGAGGAATTTGTGAGAGCATGAACAATAACTTCCAGCTATGAACAGTGAATTCCGGCTGGTTTTTGCACCAGCCGAACAGCGCCTTAGAGCATTGAGTGCTAGGCTTAATGACTAGGTTGGCTTGACGGGACCTTTAGGGCACATCCATGATCCTTGGTAAGGTTCTTTAATAAGCGACCCTTGGCTGTTGGAGCCGTCCCAAAAGGTTTTCCCATTTACGAAGAGACGACGGTCCTTGTTGATTGTTCCGACAATCAGTGGCGGAGCGTGGGAAGAAATTAAGGGGGGGGGGCTAATTCCAGTAGTGACCAGTATGTATTTGTATATTTGTGATTTATGCGCCTGTAAACAGACTAGCGACAGCGCATGTATGAAAGGAAGTTCCATGTCTGCATGACAATATGAGCTCCAAGCCTCCAACTACCTACGTCCAGCATGTGCACAATTGCCAGGAACCAGTTTGCTTGCACGTATGCATGCAGATTACTCCGAGGCAAGGGGGGGCAACAATCCAGTTTCGCCTTAACGTAGCTCCGCCAGTGCCGACAATTCATCTTAACTGCATCCATCACTTAGATCATGTCTTGCTCTGAGGCTTGGTTTCTCGTAGCTCGGATTTGCAGATTGATGAACATTTGGAACGGCGGGTAGGCTGTTTGGAATTCCTACGTTTGTAGATCAAGTATCGGTCTTGAAGAGATCTTAGGGTTAAACAACATGCTCGTCGATTGTGAGACACCTACAGTCTTTAGAGATGGTGTGCATGCGTATGTTTATATAGATGAGTGTGCGTGCATGTATACAAATGTTTGCGTGTGTATGACTTATAACTAGGATAGATTCATCATTAGCTATATACTCCTGAGGTGTCCTAGTCAAACCATATTAAGTTTAACAAAATTGATAAAAAAAATAACATAAATACAAATTAGTATCTTTTTTTTGGAAACCTCGCTTCATTAGGCCTTTAATTAACGGAAAGCTCAACAAGATCGTGAGCCACCAAGTTTTGTACAAAGTTTGGGACCGGATACTCCCAGACCTCCAACATCCCTACATCCCAACACATGCCTAAAGCGGCTATCTCGTGCGCAGACGAGTTACAAAGACGAGGAACATGTAAACATTCAAAACATAAAAAGTGATCTCTAATCACTCTACGGATGTCTTGAAAAATAACACCAGCTCGTGCTTGGTCCATCTCATAAGTGAGCACACCTTTTTGAAGTAGCAGGGAATCAGTCTCTATTTGCAGTTTTGAAATGCCAACAGAAGCTGCAATGTTGATTGCCGTCCAGCAAGCAGTAGTTTCAGCCATCAGAGCATCATATATGTTTGCAGCCTTACCAGCACCTGCCAAGACTGCCTCTCCAGCGGCATCACACACCGCAAAGCCCCAAGCCCCCAACTTCGTTGCATGATTAAAAGCTCCATCCACGTTTATTTTCAGGAAATCTTGTGGTGGCGGTGTCCAGCAGTGTCTCCTTGAGTCACTGAACTCGGCTCGTTCTTTTGCTTCCACTCCTCTGTTAGTTGCCGAACTGTATATATGATTTCAGAATTTGCCAGCAGCTTTTCTCCCGCATTGACTGCGTTGCGTGCACTCCACTTCCAGAGCAGGTTTAGCACCATTATGCATGTCTCTTCCTTTAGGGAAAGGATCTTGATTACCACTTCACGTGACAATCGTAACTCAATTAATTCCTCCCTGAGATAACTAAGGCCCAACTCTAGCCAGCATCTTCGCATAGGTTTGCATTTGAGAAAACAATGTTCCCCGTCTTCATCAAAATGTTTGCAAACTGGGCATAGAGTGTCAATCAGACCCAACCTTCCCTGAATATTCTTCTTCACCGGCAGACTATTATGCACTAGTCTCCAAACAAATTGCCTAACTTTTGGTTGAATTGGTAGCTTCCAGATTTTTTCCACTTGAATTGTCCCGAGGTCACTTCTCTTGATCCGGATGATTCCCCACGATGGCGAACTGTTGAGAATTCCTTCTTATCATCAAGGACATGGTAGGCTGACTTTACCAAAAACACTCCTTTTGCATCATAATGCCATGCAACAAAATCTTCATGTCCAGATCTCACAGATATCGCCATGATATCCTTCACGTCATCCTCCCAAAAAATATCCCTCAACAGCTAGACATCCCACGAGCCCGTACTTGGATCAATGAGCTCCGAAACTTTTGAGAGAATTACTGCACCTTTAGGAGTAATTGGTCAGCGTGTTGTTCCCCTCAGAATCCATGGGTCTTCTCATATTTTGATCGATTCTCCATTGCCCACACGCCATATGATGCCTTCTTTCAGCGCTTGAATCCCACGTACAATGCTTCGCCATGAATAAGAAATGCCCGGTCCCTCTCTTACCTTCATAAGGTCACCATCTGGGCAATATTTGGCCATCAACAACCTTGCACATAGTGAATCTGGGTTCATTACTATCCTCCAAGCTTGCCTAGCCAGCATTGCCAAGTTGAAGAGATGGAGATCACAATAACCCAGACCCCCCTTATCCCTTCGGCTGCATAGTGTGTCCCAGGAGAGCCAATGAATTTTATTCTCTTTATCTTGATGAGCACACCAAAACCTATTAATCATTTTGCCAATGTCATCATACAACATCTTGGTAAGATCAAAGCATGACATAGCATAAGTTGGAATTGCTTGTGCAATGACTTTGATCAATATTTCCTTGCCGGCTTTGGAGAGGAGCTTCTCCTTCCAGCCTTGGATCCTTTTCCACACCCTATCCTTGAGATACTCAAAAGTTTTCCTCTTGGAGCCACCAACATAAACTGGCAAGCCAAGATAGCGCTCACAGCTAGCTACGGTGGATATGTCAAGAATTTCCATGAAACTTTCTTTTGCTGCAGTTTCAGTGTTTATGCTAAACATAATCGATGATTTATCCTTGTTGATGGTTTGCCCTTAACACTCCTCATAAAGTTGTAGCACATGCCGCAAATGATTTGCACTCTCATCATTAACTTTTAAGAGAAGCAATGAATCATCAGCGAACAAAAGATGAGTGATGCTCGGTGCATTGTTACAAATAGACACTCCCTCCAAAACACCATTACTTTTTGCAGCATTTAGCAAGGTAGAAAAGCCTTCAGCACATAACAAAAAGAGATAGGGAGAAAGTGGGTCTCTTTGACGTAACCCCCGTGAAGGGATTATTTCATCTGTAAGTTCCCCATTCACTTTGATCCGATATGACACAGTTGATATGCACTGCATAATCAGTTTAGACCATCTTTCATGGAATCCCAGCTTGTCCATCATCTTTTGTAAAAAAGCTCCATTCAACACGGTCGTAGGCCTTGCTCATATCAAGCTTCATAGTTGCATAGCCCACAGCCCCTCTTCTTTTATGCTGCATATAGTGTGACATTTCATAGGCTATTAATACATTGTCCGTAATCAATCTTCCAGGGACAAATGCGCTTTGGTTTGGAGCAATAATATCAGGGAGGATCAATTTCAGGCGATTTGCCAAAACCTTCGAGGCTATCTTGTAGATCACATTACAGAGACTAATAGGGCAAAGATCTTTGAGTCTCTCAGGTCTCAGCACTTTTGGAATCAAAACTACCACCGTTTCATTCCACTGGCTAGGCATTTCACCTCCATCTAAAAAGTACTTGACTTCTTTGATCACATCATCACCACAAATATTCCAATATTTCTTGTAAAATAGAGCAGGCATACCATCACCACCCGGAGCTTTGAGATTGCCCATGATATCCAAAGCCCTTTTAATTTCATCAGCTGTGAATTCTTTGATCAAAGACATGTTCATCTCCTGGGTCACTTTGGGCTGCACATATTGCAATAATTCATCAGTGCTCCCCTGCATTGGCATGAAACAAACTTTTATAATAATTAGTAATAACGTTTTGCTTCTCCCCCTCCTACTCCACTACTGATCCATCCTCCATCACTAATTTACAAATGCGGCTCCTCCTCTTTCTTTCAGAAGCAAATTGGTGAAAGAATTTTGTATTTCGATCACCGTTATCTAGCCAATGAGCATGTGCTCTTTGCTTCCAATACAAATTTCTTTGCTCCTCAAGCCTCTCCAATTTATACTTTAAAATCTGTTCTCTCCCCACTGTATGTGCACTAATCGGCATTCTCCTGCACAACTCTAACTTCTTACGAGCAAATTTGATTCTCCTCTCAAGATCATTCAAAATATTCTTACTCCAATCCCACAAATCACTAGCAACCCCTTTCACTGCATTTTCCACTTTCTCTCCTCTCACTTGAGTAGCAAGTTTCCAAGCATTTTCGATAATCACCCCACATTGTTCTTCTTCAACCCAACCGGCCTCAAAACGAAAAGTAACCCTCGGGCGAGTATTTTCTCCCCCATACAGGTCCTCCGTGTTCACAATGATGGGCCTATGATCAGAATGGCGTTGATATCCATTTATCAGTATCTTGATACATCATGAAATGTATCGCCGATTCTAGACATTGATTTGCTTCAAGACTAAAGGAGTACCATTATAGTATATTAGGACAAAGTTTCATTAAGTCGATTGGGTTATGTATAAGTCTACAGGTGGATCAGATTTTCAGGTATACGAACTCAAAGTCAAGTCTGAGTACAGGAGCTTATAGTTATGGAACAGATCCCAGACCATGGGCCATGGTGATGTAACTCGGTAATAGTAGTTTTGGTGACATTGTGCAAGTTTTGATTTTAGAAACGCTATGAACAAAACGTCCGACGCCTGACTCCCTTCTAGACACGTGGCGTGACGTGCACCACAACTTTACGTCACTACCGCATGTGCCACTCGCCTAAATAAATAAAAAAATAAAATCAACTCCTAGCCGCCTTGCCTCACTCCACTTTGTTCCGCACGCATGTGCCACGCTTAACGAGCTCCCTCTCTCTCGTGCTTCCATGCTACTCCGCTCTCTCTCGCTTGCCCACCCCAGCGCGTGTCGTCCCCACCCCGACATCCTCCTCCCCACCACCACGGCTCCTCCCCCCCATCTCGGCAGCCTCCTCCCACACCCCGAGCGTCCTCACCCACCGGGAGCCCCCAATGCCGTAGATTCGGTGGCCCTCTCCCCCACCTCAGCGAAATCCATGGAGGTGGCGCGACAGCGTTGCAGGGGAGTGGGTGGCTCTCCCCACCAAGCACGGCGCCTCCCCACCCCGTGGCGCCCTTTCTCACCTCGGGCCATGAGCTCCCCCTACCCCGTCGGCCATGTTGCTCCTCACCCCTGGTGGCGATGGTGCTTTCACATGTGACTTGTGCTGCTGTCATTGCCTCCGACCCCGACGACCGGAATCGACCGGCCCAGCCTTTCCCTCCCTATGTTGCATGTGTATGTTTCAAGTATTTTAGACGTTTCATATGTATGTTGCTTGTTTCATACGGATGTTGCAAAAGTAGATCGGGTGATGTTGCACATGTTGCATATGTTGCAAGTGTTTTAGAGCCATGTTGCAAGCGTTTGTTCAAAATGTTTCATCTATTTTCAGACGTATGTTGCAATCGTTTTGATCTGGATGTTGCATATGTTTTCAAACATATGTTGCAATAGTATGCTCCGAAATGTTTCATCTGTTTCATTCTTCTGTTGCAACAAGTGTTTTCATGTTGTAAGTTGCAAGTGTTCTATCTGGATATTGCATATGTTTTCACACAATCACACATATGTTGCAAGTGTATGTTGTAGATGTTTCGTCTGTTTTAGACGTATGTTGCATTTAAGTGTTTCATGTTGCACGTGTTTCATGCTCTTCGGAGAGTTAGGGGACGCAACCGAGCGGGCAGACGGTCCTCAACTACGGTCAGGCGGCACGGGAGACATCCAGGCGACGCGAGGCCCGCGTGGGCATGCATAACGAGCCAGTGCGGGAAACATAGTGGACGGAAACAGGCTAGCACGCACGGGCGTCCACCCAGACATCTGGGCACTAGCATCCTAGGATCAGTGTTATCTTAAATGTTAAACGATAAACTATCGTTCGCCCTTCGTTTAGCATTTAGGCCGTTTATATGGTGTTTAAACAGAGTTAAACGGTCTAACTAGTTTTACACCATATTACCAAAATGTGCATATTTATTGATGTAAAATCAATTATTCTACCATTTATACATGCTTATGCTATTAAAAATCAATTATTTTAGTATGTATATATATTTATGCATGTAAAAAGAATCAAATATACATATTCATACATGTAAGAAATCAATTATACATATTTATAAATATAATAAACTTAAATATACAAATTTATGCATGTATAACTTAACTGTATTTGTGATCGCCTAAATAGCTGTTTAAACAGTTATTTAGCCCGTTTAAAACCGTTTACCTCCGTTCCATCTAGGACGTTTAGACCGTTAACCCCCATTTTGTGACCGTTGAAACGGTCAATCGTTTAATTTCCGAATACCCCCTAAACAAAACAGTTTGCCACTGTTTACCGTTTAGCAACCGTTTAAATGGCCGTTTTGGCGAACACTGCCCAAGATAAATAAAGTTATAAAAGTTGTTGAGTGTAGACTGTGATAAATGTTGTCAAGAAAAAAAATCTTTAAGGAACAAAACTCCCACATAACTTAAAAGTCAGGTCGTGATTGTTCTACAAGTTGCAACAGAAAATGCAGTCGGTACAAACTTTCTAAGAACGAACAGGCAAAAGAGCTGCCTATATAATATTAAAATAGAGCTACATGAAGTATTTAGAACTACACATTCTCAGGCAATCTAACCCTTAAGTATGTCACAATTAACACCACATTCACTCCTGCATCGCCTCTGCCTCTGCCTTAGGTGGGGGTGGTGGCAAAACCTCCTTCACCATATCCAAAAACTCCTGGACCCGCTTGTCTTCGTCACAGGCTTCTCCTCGGTAGTCCCTGGAAAATCGTTTCCCACATTCTTCTATCATCTGCAGTAGAGGATCAAAATGAAGACTAAACAGCTTAGTAGAGGATCAAAATGAAGAATAAACAGCTAAACATCAAGTTATAAACTGTAATCATTGTACATCCAGGTCACTTTAGTTTTGTTCTAAGTCCAAGTTCTCTAAGTTTGACCATGTTTATAGAAAATTGCATCAACATCAAATTAGTTTATTTAAATTCTCTATGACATGTCTTGCTAATGCATTTAATTGAACTTATAGATAGTAATATATTTTTCTAAAAAAACTTTGTCAAAGTTAGAGAAGTTTGACTTAGAACAAGGCTAAAGTGACCTACAATTTGGAATGGAGGGAGTAAGTTATGAGTGGTTCTTGGAAGTGTAAAATAACAATGGAAGGAGTAAGTTATGAGTGGTTCTTGGAAGTGTAATAAATAACAATAGCAATAGCAATCGTTACTTCATATTTGACACACTTGAACTACTTTTCTCTGCCTATCATTGCACAGAAAATACAAGTTATCCATGAGATGCGCTCATGGATAATTATAAGACAGAAATCCAGCTTATGGACAAGTAAATAAAGTTCTCAGATATGAAGCAACAAACAAGTATAGTCTAGTACATCTTTCCATATCTTGCCAAAATTCAAAAAGCAAAAGAAGTTCAGCCATTTCTAGCCCTTAAAAAGGAAAAACAGATTTAAACCTCTTTCAACCTCATGTCTCGTGAATTCAGAAAAGCAAATTTATGCATCATTAAAAGCTATTTAGCCCATTTGCTTCTATACTACTACTCCATTCCAAATTATAAGTCGTTTAGGCTTTTCTAGGTACGTACCCTTTGCTATGCATCTAGATTTATATTATGTCTAGATACATAACAAGACTTGCCCTCGCGCTCCCACGCATGATTAATCGGGCAATGACACAAACCCTAGTAGGCGTTGCCCCCTTCTCTCCCTCCCTCCCGCCGCGCCGCCGCCGGAGCAGGCCGTCGGCATGGCCACGCGGGTTGCAGGGAGGGCGGTGGTGGGGCGCTAGTTCGCGGTGGTGGCAGGGACGGACGAGGTCGTGCTCGCACGCAGCGGGGTCTGACGTCCAAATCTGCGGGTGCTGCGGCAGCCTGCACCTGGGCAGGCGTTGGCCGATGCCCACGGCGGCGGCGGCGGCTCCAGGCCAGGGTGCCGGGAACGGCACCAGATTCGCAGGCGTCCGCAGAGAGGTGCCCCACGCCCTAGGATGCGCGCGGAGGCGGCTGCGTCGGCCAGGGGCGCCGAGGGCGGGGGTCTTCCTCGCACTTGGCGGTGGTGGTGGCGTGGCGGGGTGCACCCTCGTGCGAGCCGCGTGGAGCTTGGTGGAGCCGCCCGCTGTGGCTGTGGTGGTGCCGGCCAGCCGTGCACGCGCCGAGGGACGGGGGAGCTCTTCTTCCGCCTCCGCTTCCTGCTTTCCTCCTGAGCCATGGCAGCGGTGGCAACCATGGTGGAGGCGGCGGCGCCGGCGGGGGGCACCGGGTCCTAGCGCCCTGGTGGCCACATCCGGCGCTTCAAAGGTGGGGCGGCTTTTCGCGGTGGCTAGTGGAGGTCGGCGGCGCGCGACGGCGGCGTGCTTGTTCGGACGACGGCAGCTGGCAACGACTTCAGCGTGCGGCACTATGACGTATGCGGCAAGGTAGGTATAGCCTAGTGCGTTGCCCTGTTGGGGGCGTCGTGTTCCCCTCCAGCAGTGTCTTCCACAGGTGAAAACCCGGTCCATTCCTGGACAAGCAATGGCGGCGCTATCGGCGTCGTACCCTTCTTGAAGGCGTCGCTGTTGGAATTTCGTCTTGGCCGCGATGTCTCCTTCCATGGACGCTCTTCGCTTCTCGGCGCTCGATCGACGTGAGACGGCCGGAACTGCATCCGTGAAGTCAGAGCTGCTACATTGGGGGATGTAGCTTGACAACGATGACACGGGGCAAACCCCCTTCTTCGACGACTAGGACTTTGCTTGGGAGGCCCGGCAAACACCGCGGTCGAGGCAGGAGACCGAGACAGGATCGAAGTCGGTGCTACTCTTCACGACGAGCTGGAGCTCGGCAACGATGACCTGTTGCGGCCTCTTGCTTCGGGCCCGTCTGTCTGGCATCGTAGGGTGGGATATCTGTGGTCTGCCATGGGAAGTTTGAGCTGCTGGCTGCTTTGCCATGCTCCGCAACGATGACTCATGGTAGTGTTGTACTGTGCCTTGTTGCGTGGGTGGGCTAGCCTTTCGGGGTGTTTGGCACCACGTTTGGCTACCCTTTCTTGTACATAAACTTCATTCGTCTTAATTGAGCGGCAAAGCTCATTCCATTGTTTCAAAAAATAACAAAAGCTATGTATCTAGAAAAGTCAAAACGACTCATAATAATTTGGAACAGAGGGAGTAAGAAATAAGAATAGATTCTTGGCCCCTTTTCTTCTTAATATAAAGATACGTAGCTCTCTACGTATTCGAGAAAAAAAAACATAGGCGTCAGCCAAGCAGCGCTAAACTTCAAACATTTTTTTCCAACAACAATAGAGAAATGGTAATATCATAGCGAGGAAGGCCACTTTCACGGTGGTCCATGCAGCAAAATTTCTATATGAAATAGCTTAATTTGCATAAACATGTAATATTGTAAATCTGAAAATAAAAACATGCTCATTATCAGCAAGATGAACATTACAGTACCGCATAAGCATCGGCAGCTGAGGATGGTCTCCAGTTGATGACATTTAGCTTATCAGCCTCTGCAAGCATGAAACCCGCACTTCTCTTCACAAATTCATAAATTGATTCCCTTGTCTGGTTGCAAGCAGGGGTTTTTAAGAGGTACTCATACACCTAATGAGACGATGACGACTATCAGACCAGTTTAGGTACAAAACAGCACAAATAAACAAGTCGAAATGATAAAGGCCTAGGTAAAAGAGGAGCAAAGTAATCACCTTACACTCTGATGCAGCAACAGCCCCCAAGCATCCCATAGGGTCAACTTTGGCACCTCTTGTTCGCAAGAAGTCAAGAACTTCAAAGTTGGTAAGGATCCCTGCATTTGCTTTCTGTCTGCAGAACATCAATGGGCAACGGTTATTCCTAGTCTAGCTTTAAATCACGCAGTGGCTAACAAGCAGCACAAGACATTCAGGACCCATGGTTCAGTCCTCTACACTCAGGGTCGTTCGCATCAATTGAGCGAAACGATTGGAGCTCACAACAGACTTTCCCATGAATCGTCATAAGAAATGGCATATCGAACAAAAACAATCTAACAACAGACTTTCCCATGAATCCTCATAGGAAATTACGGATTGAACAATAAACAATCTAACAGAACAGTTGGCACCACACTTATACCCCCAATTACTGTGAAGTTTTGGATAGATTAATAGGTGAAACGGGAAAATATCATCGATCAAGACATTGCTGTTAAGCTTATAACTGGACCCATTAACCAACAGGGACCATCTGAGGCACTAGCTGATCTAATTTTTGAAGAATTTGCGTAATGGATAGGATGTGCATGTCGAAGATTGACAGACAGCTTAGGTCAGCATACCAGTAACGGTGAACAACATAATGACACAGGTACTGAGAGACCGGAGACATGAGCACTCACATCTTCATTTCTGCTGCGGACTGACCGTGCTCGCCGAAGGAGATGAACCTAACCAAAACGGGACGGATTAGCAAGGCATCACGCAAAGGGCGAGAAAGCTAATTTCGTGCACCAGTACCACGGGATGGGTTACTCGCCAGCAGAGGGTCCGGTGGAATCGATGAGCGGAGCGCAACCCACGTCCGGAACCGGAAGGCGGCTCCAACCCCGCCAGCTGCACCGACGGAGAGCAGGAGCTCGCGGCGGCGGAGGACCCGTCGGTCGGTGGCGCCGGCGCCGGCCCCTCGTGCTGGACCTGTCAAGGGTTCCCACCCCTTTGGCGTAGGCTCGGAGCTTCACGACAAGCTGGGTTATTTTGGCCATTAATAGTGGGCCGGATTCACCTAAGCCCACAAACCATGAAAGAGCCCAACAGTACACGCCGTTCAAGAGCCCACCAGGTTCATTTCCTCAGGATCAAACATCACAATTCAGAAGCGCATTTCAGACGTGTCACTCGCAACCGAAATTTTTTCAATTTAACCGTTTTTCCGTTAAAAATCACATTTATACCCATGGGTATCAAAATCCTTTGGACCCTGATCTCGGTGCCGTGACCTATGGCATCGAGGCAACACGTCTCGACACCAAACTTTGACCATGTCAGACCTATGGCGCCAAAGCAACACATCTCAGTGCCAACCTCCGGTGACGTCAACGTCATGTTGCCAGCCACGACAACCCTGACCTCCAACCTCAGCGCCGAGACATGTTACCTCAGCACCATAGGCCACGACACTGAGCTCAGGGTCCAAAGATAAGTTTTTAAAATTCAAAGGATATAAATGTGAATTTTTGATAAAAAAAAGGTTAAATTGAAAAAAAAAATCAGCACCCGCAACAGCATGGGGGGAGAGGGGACAAAAAGGTACAATCCCTAAGATATAGATATAAGGAAATGAAAAACTTACTACTTTAGTAAAGAAGATACAGACGATCATCTGACGGATTACCAACGTAGTAATAACATACTTATTTGCACGAACTCTCCCAACAACTCTACAACTACAACACGCACGGGATTGTTCTACAGTGGCCCAAAATGTGGATTCCTCCAACTCCAACCAGACTACTCTCCTCCCATTGCTACTCAGTTTTACGACGACCTATCCCGTGACATATACTACTTTACTACAGGATTTGAACATCAGTGATGCGCCTTATGAGACCTTGCCCGAGCTGTGCGGCGAACTCCATAGGACGCCTTGACGAGGCGTGGGATTAGAGCTTCCTGCTCTTCAGGCAGGTTTTCGACAGGATTCTCTTCCCAAACATGTTGTTTCGAAGAGCGCCGACGTGTGGCTTGATGGCTCGGACCAATTCAGCCTCAACCTCAGCATCCTGCACGTAATAAATTAATTTCAGTTTAAAAAAGAAACTAGTCGAGATGTGAGTTTTCAGTTTAAGAAAGAAACTAGCCGACGTGTGCATTGTATTTTACCTCGCACTCCCGGAATGCTGTTTGGATAACATAGTTTCCATACTGATCAAGCAAGATATTCTGCAGCTTGGGGTCATTGACAAGCTCAAGGATGATCTTTGCACGTTTTGGCCCCCGTGCTTCTTTCAGGCATTTCTCAACCACGTTGCTGCTGCACTTTTGCATCGACAGATATCCATAGTTGCCCTGAAGCTTGTCCAGAATTTCATTCGTTGCCCAAGTAACCCTGAGGTCGAGTATGAACTGTATTACATAGTTCCTGCAGCGATTTGTTCATATGCTCAGCATTCAAAAGCCGAGGCCGCAAAGGAATCAAAGTTACATTAACTCTGAAGGCAAAAGGCAACGTACATACCCATACTGATGTTCCGCGAGGTCGAGAGCCCTAGTTGTGATACTGTACAATAACTTGTTCTTCTGCTCCTTATTTGCATGAATTATACATTTCTGGATGATACAACAGCCTTGGCGATCCTTTGCTAGCTCAACGCAATATTTTGTGGCCGCATTGAGAAGGAACTGCAATGGTAATGGCAGTCCAAAATCCAGTTTACAAATTGGTAATAATGATAGCAAAGAAATTACGTAGCAGTGGCTAAGTACATTTACATTATCCTTTTCTTGTTCTTCAATACAACTAGCACGAACTCGTGGATATACTTTCCAACATTTGCTTTAATTGTTAATTCAAACATCCTTAGTACTATGTTCCACCAAACAAGAATTCATTGTAGAGCACATTATAAATTAATTTAGATGACAGTACTTGAAATCATTGGAGACAAAGAAAATTTTGAAGTCAAGTGATAGTTCAAATACAGATAGCCAATAAATGTTCAGGAAAGTGATATCATAGACCATGATGATTAAAGTAACTTGGTAAGACAATTAGCAGCACTGCAAGTTTTAAATGTGCAGCAAAAATAAAGTCATAAACACTGGGGTTGCTATTAAATGATGAAACACTGTCCAGAAAGCTGATCAACCCCTTTGTTTGTTTGTTTAATAAATCCCAGTAGGGGGATACCCCTCCTGTTTTCCTCAAAAAAAAAAAAAAAACTGATCAAAATATATCACAATTGTCATAGGGGATGGTCGATCTAGGAACAGCTCAAGCCCTGGGTCAGGAAACATCTTTACGTGCTTTAGTTCGCATCAGTTTGAATGTTTATGCTTTCTCGGTATTACTTCCCATGGCCTATTATTTTGTATATTAGGACTGGAACGAAACCCTATTTGCCCTGGGCCTGGACCTGCCCTTACTAGGGAATCAGATTAAATTCCAGCAATACAGATTAAAAACTTAGGAACAGAAAAGAGAGAGAGAAACTTCATGAATTTACAATCAGGCCTTTGAACGTTCTTAGTTCTCTTACAACAATAAATAACTGTAGTGGTATATGCTTTCTTTTTCAGGAACAAACAGGTAAGAGACCTTTCTATAATATTGATTAGATGGCATAGCCAGAGTACAAAAGCCATAGACAGCAACACGGCAAATAAAATTTGCAGCCTGACAGGCCACCATGGTCTCTGTTATGAATGATACTAGAGGGCGTACCCAGTGCAGAGAGCTCCCGCTCTGTGCGGGGTCTGGGAAGGGTACTAGAGAATTATTTCTTTCTTTAATAGCAAGGCTGCATTTAAAAGATAGTGCTACTATTGGCAAATACAACTAGGCACTGACAGTGTATTTTAAAAAAGATTGCATACAGTTAATTCCAATTTAGATGTCCCAAGGTATGAAACAAGATTATCCTTGGTATCAAAACAAAAATCATTGTATGAACCTAAACATAAAACTATGCAAACTAGTGTATAAGCACCAAGGACTAGATGGCAGATGGTTACCCAATGGATAACAAAAGCAGGATTTAAAGGTTTCTTAAGTAAAAGAGGTACTCGACGATGATCACTAGGGCATGCTCTAACCATACTGGATATTTAGTTCTATGTAGCAGAGTAAAGAATTATAACAATATGAAGCTGATAAAAGGAAGTCAGTCAGACAACATTGAAAGCATGAGCAAGGCTACATTGGTTTAAAGTAAAAATGTCTTACTGCTTTGCACTCAGGTGATAGCTTCTGCAAGCAACGGTGTGCAACGTGGCTGCCATTGGCATCCATCATCAGAGTAATGGCACCATGGCTCAGAGCAGATACTACCATGGACACTTCATCTGAGGTACTAACAGTTTCTATCACCTTTTGCACCACACGTGTCCTGGATTTTTAAGTTCAAAAACAGTATAAAGTTATGATAAAATGAAAATAAAAAGAAGCAATTATTAATATCAAAGCATGAAGCGACCATACCCATGCATGTTGCATGCAACTTTGACTAGCTGGCCAGGTATTTTGGTTATTTCATAAAGTATATGCATCTTTTGATTATCATTGCACTGCTCAAGTAGTTTTTGTATCAAGTAATTTCCAAATGGATCAACCATAAGTTCATCGATATGCTCAATTACACCATCAAAAACCTTTTGGGCATCCTCTTGAGAACCTTCTGTAAATATCCTTTGGAGGAAACGGCAGCCATTCTGATCCTTCGCCAAGTGGTACAATTCTCCAACAACTTCATCAACTGAATTACAGTTCAGTTGGGCAGATTTCATGGCCACTTCAGAATCCAAGGATGACGGTGAACTTTTCACTTTATCAGAGATGCAATCTTCTAATAAACCTTTGGGTGAATGCCTGAGCCCAAATGAATGTTTGAGCTTTTCAGATAGCTGAATTTGACAGTATTCACAGGTTTCACATAAGCAATCAGGATAACTTGTACAAGGACAATTATTCACATGTGTCAAACTCCGTCGGTTACTTCCATTAGGAATTATAGCACCATTCCAGTAGATATCAGGACTGCCATGTCCCAGATGACGAACAGTGGGCACTCTAAGGTGAGGTGCAGCTACATACTTGGTTGATGAGTTGATAACACCATATTGATTGCTATTGATCCAATGAACATCAGGAGCCTGTGGAATTTGCTGATAAGAATACTGTGGCTGCATGATAAAATTCGTCTCGACATCAATATCATGCCGCTTGAATTTAGAGTCCATCTGCTGCTGATAATAAGGTGCATATGCTTGTGGCTGCCTATCGATAATGAGATGTTGCTGGAAAGGCAAAGCTTGTGGTAAATTGGTTCTAGCCACAAAAGCATTATCTTTGCCATGCATCCCTGTGTACATTGGAGGATTTTTGCACCAAACTTTGGTTTCATGTGTCCAGCATTGTTGACCATCAAATATGAAGGCACAAACTCATCCTGACCAAATGCTGGCTGAAGTGGCAGATTTGTTGGGTTGTCAGCTGATGTAAACAAATAGTCTGCAAAACGGAGTGCATCCCTGGATCCAACACTGCCAGAGTTAGCAGAAGAGTCAGCAGCACTACCAGTGAAGCTCAAGCTCATGTTCCCAAATGCAGATGCCAATGACTGATCATCAAACAAATTGGCATTGTCAATGGTGCCCAGACCATTCCGAGCAGGGCTTCTTTCACTCATAGGA